GTGACGGCGGCGCATACATTGTGTAGTAAGATTGCATTGGCACTTGGCCTGCGGCGGGATGGTGCATGTAATGTGTGCTGGCATGGACAAATTGTTGTTGTTGCTGCTGCTGCTGTTGTTGCAGTTGCTGCTGCTGCTGCTGTTGATCTGATTGTGGAGGGATAGCGTACCTGGAATCCTGGACTTGCTGAACTTGATTTTGAGATCCCGGATCGGAAGCATCGCCGGGTGTATTAGGGCTAGCAGGACCTCTGATGTTGTCCCTGTTTGCAGCTTGAATCTGCTCTTGGTAGTACATTGGTTTGGAGAGAGAGTTGGCAGATGTAATGCTACTATCACTGGACAATTTGGACAAACATTATAACCCATTTTTATCCAACTATTATCTCCAAACTCTAATAACAAAAATTGGAAAAATGCAAGCGACTTGTAGCTCAGTTATGAAAAGCATTAGCCCCTACACTCAATTCTCTAGTCGATTCCCCCTCCCAATATCGCTTGTGTAAAATAAAATTAGAAAATTGGTTCGTTACTAAAATTTGAGGGCGAGCCTTGGCACAACATAAATATTGCTCTATTGTGACCCAAAGGTTCAAGTCGTGGAAATAGCTTTTTTGCAAAACAAGGGTAAGGTAAGGCTGCGTACGATAGACGTTTCCGTCACCTAAAAGAAAGTCGACCCCACTTAATGGGATAATGCTTAGTTGTTGTTGTTGGTCGGATCCTAAAATTTCTCAGTATTACCGTAAAATCACTCATCAAGCTTTACATCTAAATGTTGAGAGGCACATGGTCACACTCATGGCAATTACTAAGAAACTATCATCTTTTTATTTTATTTTTTAAAAACAATATTGTAAACTACTCTAATATATCGGAGAATTCAAACTTAGCTGCAAAAAGAGCGGGCACACTGACCTAACCCACATTTGCAAAAATTATATCTGATACAAACAGTGAAAGCACATACCTTGTAACTGAGTCCGGTGAAGGTAAACTATAACCTCCGCCGCCGCCACCAGCCTTATTAACTTGCAAGGGCTGCAATGGCAATGGCAGGGGAGGCTTACGAAATCCGACCGGCATACTCTGATCCGATGATCTTTCATCATCTAGCCTGTTCACATTTTCTCCAGAAACACCTGAAGCATTCATCACCTGACCCCCAGATGGTGGCAAAGCACCCGAATTCACCACCATTGGCGGCGGAGCAGCAACAACAGCAGCATAACTAGCACTTATCTGAGCAAACTGCTCCTCAATCCCAACACCCCTGTTACCACCCTGCATCAATCTTGCCCCATTTTCGTCCATTCGAACCCGAATCGGAGGCAAATTCGACAAGCAAGGCGACGAAGTAGACGACCCGCATGACGAAGTACTGTTCTCGACAAATGGGGACTCTTGATTGATCGAATGAACATCATGGACAACCACATTATCAACATTTTTCATCACAACGTTGTTTCCCTGTTTGTTGTTGTCTCCGAAGAAGTCGCCTTGCGCCTCTAAATCATTGCAAGATTTCTCACTCCTCGTCAGCAAGCAATCCATGGTGGCAGAATCCGACAGGTTCCTCGGAAGACCCGACCCGTTCAGCGCGTCGACGAACCAAGACTCGGACTTTGCGTCGTCGAGCAGAACACCCATCGACGCGGTGGTTTCGGGTTTCACGAAGAAGAGGAACAGTCGGAGGCGGGAGGGTTTGTGGGGGGAGGCGGAGGCGGTGCGGTCGTATTCTTCGACCATGTTGTCGAGATCTTCATCGGTGGTGACGGAGATGAGGGAGTGGAGGTCTTCGTTGGGGAGCTGGTACTTGAGGGAGAAGGGGCGGCCGTTGAGGAGCGTTCGGGAGAGGCGGGAGCAGAGGTCGGAGAGAGTGGAGTGGCGCTCGGCGACAATAATGCGGGTTTCGCCACCGACGTAGCAGAGGGACTTGTCATGGGGGCGGGGGATGATGTGGCCGCCGTAGCTGCACATGAGGCGGAGCTTGGCGCCGGGGACTTGAGGGAGAGGGTCGTCCCAGGTGTCGGCATTGCGGGAGCGAGGGGAGGAGTCCACGGAGTCGGGGTAATTGAGTTGCATGCTAGTGGCTGCCGTAGTTGCGGTGGTGGTGACTGTGGTGGGGAGAGGCGGTAGTGGCAGTGGATCCATTTGGTTGTGGCTGCGCGAAATGAAAGTTTGGGGCTTTCTGTTTGTGCTTTTTGAAAGTCGGTGTCTCTTATTCTGCTTTTGACTTGATTGACATTGAACAGGTAAAGAGAGTCTTTGTGCTTCTTGAGGTATGTTATGTGTTGTCTATTTCACTTTCAGAGTTTCTTTAAGTTAGGGTATAATACTATTATATAAGAGGAGAGAGACTTGAACTCGAGTGCTAACACATTATTTTGACAAATTAACATGAAAGATTGATTTATAGGAAAGAGCTTTGGATTCTGAGTGCGAGCCTCAACATATTATTCCGAGTCTTTCAATTTACTCTTAAGAGAGATTTGAATCGATATAAGGACTTTGACAGACACACTATCTTTATAAACCAACCTACACTATTAAATTTATAAAAAACAATTAAACTCGAATGTAAAAGAATGGTCACACTATTCTCACAACCTGGTCTAAGTCATGTCTCTTGATCACCTTTGAGTATGAATTCAATGAAATGCTTGATTTGACCCCTGCCTTGGGCTGATTACATGATTTGTCCCCTATGTTTTGCTTCTAACAAAAGAGATTTCAAAGACAAAAGGGAGAACCTTTAATTATACACCACTCATGGGATTAAACCAAGTAAATGGGTTTTATCTCTGCAAATACAATTATACAGGTAATTAGTAAATTTGGTAGATGCAACACAAAAGTTTATCAAAGTTTAAGCAAGCAAATGAAGGTCCAGTTTGGTCAAACTCAAATTAAATCTGAAGAAAAAACAAAAAGAAAATGAAATATATTGCTCCTATGCACGCGTGGAAGAGTCGAGGTCCTCTCTGGAATTTACGTTCGGCTGAGTCCAAGGATTTGGAGATTCTTGCTGTTGAAGAGAGAGAACGAGAGATCAAGATTTTTGATTGTGCAAGGTAGATCAGTAAAATGAGCTAATGAATACCGTAGGATTTAAAATGAGTGTTCCAAATCTCAGAGTTCGTTAGCTCCGGATACAACAAAGATTATCTCAAGGGATGTGATATCCATACACCTCTTTTTACTTCTCACACACTCTTCTAATTTTCAGTAGTCGGATAAGATAAATCGAAAAATATCAAATGACAAAAATTAATAAGGGATGTGTAAAACTAAAAAATAAAAACGAATGTATGGATAGCACACTCCTATCTCAATTGTGCGTGGAGAGAGTTGAAATTTTGACGCGTAGCCCATTCACTGAAGCACATGAACTTTACAGAGAAACGGACCAATCACATGCACATTACGTAGGAACTTGTGCATGATTTATTCTAAGTTTATAAACCCTGGTGGTGGTGGGATTGGATTTGGATCTATATTTGATTTGATGAAATCAAAACCCTTTAATTTCGCTTTAAAATGATCCTTTTGCTTCTCCTTCAGATACGAGAAGGGCTGTATCGCAATATCAGAACACGAGAGAGCAAATACGGGAGAACAATGTGGTGTGGAGTGTGGACAATATTAAATCTCAATGTGTGTGTATATATATATATGAATTACATATACATATACTTATACTTATCATAGGAGAGAATCTTATACCAAAGATAATACAATGATAGTATATCAAATTTATCACGTATTGTTGTGGATATTAATTTTCTTACATGACGTCATCATGCAAAAGGAACACAGACAAAATTAAAAAACAAAAGATTATTAATTTGATTCACCAGCCAACTTTAACATGATTGATCACTCAAGATATCAATTACTTGCAACATCATCTTTGCATGAAAGTTTTTTTGCTAGCTTGTTACAAGAAACTAGATTCACTTTGACTAGTACTAGTATCCCTTTTACTTTAGATTGTAATATTTCTCTTTAGCAAACTAATGTGAAAAATTGTCTGCAGTAGTGTGTCCATTGTCAAATATTATGCATCCATGTGTTGGGTTAAGGAAATCAGAGGCCTTTCCAGTGTGCAATTACTGTCAAAACTTCTATATTATATTGTTTTGAGCAAATATAATACAAGAATGTGAGTTGAGTTTTCCCAAGCTCATAAATTGTTTATGGAAGAGTTAGGTGCTATACTTCGAAAATCTGAGATATTCTTCAAAGCTGCCCTCTAACTGCTCGACGAATTACCTCTATGGACACTGATTGGGTAGCTGCTAGCCTCATGCCTTAGTATGTGCTATGGGCATATGGTGATAGGCTCACTTGGCATAGGTTAGCATCTGTTGACATGCTTGCTCAAAAGTTGCTGACATCAGTTGACATGCTGACTCGGAAAATGTTGACATTTGTCAACATGCATGCAATATGACTTGGCAAATGACCTCAGGCTTACAAAAGTTCGATGAAATGCCAATTTGCGCGCTATTCTTACTGACTCTCAAATAATATTTCTTGAATCTACCACTTCTTTATGGTACTTGAAATAATAGATTATACACGAGGTAGCAATGGGTGAGAATTATGGAGAACTTGATCAACTCGATGGTTTTGGAATTTGATTAAGCGGACATTTCCCAAGGGAAAAATTAATACATTTATATTATTTAGAAGAAATTCTCTATGTCAAACCTATTTATACACGGAAAAAATCACGTGGTAATTAATAAAACTCACAAAAGGCGGATATGAAATGTGGATTATGTAAGTTAGAGCCATGTGTCTTCTTTTGCAATCAAGTTTAAGTTAGTCGACTCCGTAATTTCGAATATTGATATTAATCTCAGCTGCTATACTTTTATTTGTAAACAAAATTTCTTCGACCATACATTTGGCTTATTTTATTAATGCATATTCAAAGGAGATTATCCAACAACAACAAAAAAGAAAATAAACTTTATAGCAAATGAAATTAAATGAAGGAGAAGGACGAGGACTGAAGTTATCATTTGAACAAAATGTTAAGATAATAAGATGAACTAGGTTTATTTTCTATTTTTTTGACAGACCCCGGCCGCCCGGCCGCCCGGCCGCCCTTCTATCTCCCTTTCTTTCTGTTTGAATCGCGCCATTGATGAGGGAGCCCGAGGCTTGGGGAGCTTATTTTCTTCTTCACAGTTCTCTATCAACGGTAATCTCTCCCAGTCTCTCTATATCCAATGTATATAGGACAATGTTTATTAGGAAAATATGATACGTCGTATGAAAACTAGGGTTCATGCATATCTTCAAGAATTGTGTTGTATATATATATATATGCATACACACACACACACACACACACAAACTAGGGTTTGTGAAAAAGTAGGCTTCACGTTCTTTGATTAATAAGAATTTTAAATGGCAGTTTGAATTGAACCACAAGTTGTTATTGTGAAACTTTAATCAGATAGTTTTCATGAAACCCTAGCTTGAGCATCAAAAATGGATTGGCATTTTCACGTCATTGATATCGTTGTCACACTAACAAGCTCAAAAATCATTCTTAGTCCTCGTTTGGTACCAAGGATTGAATTGGATTGGACAACTTACTAGGTTCATATGATCCTTCAAATGTGTAATTTTCAGGTCCTTATCTTTGGGAAAAAGAAAACAGTTAAGCTAATGACATTTGATTCTTCAATTGTGCCTGTTCTTCTATTCAACCTGGCCGTGTAGCTCACTCCTTTCCGAAAGATCATTTTGAATTGGTTTCGCACTCCAGTTGGAAAGAAGATGCCCGAGATGCAGTTAGGATCTCACACATTAAGATCTCATGGAGTCAAAGTGGCTAAACTACTGCACAAGTATGACTGGTTAATTCTTCTGCTTCTCGCGGCGGTTGATGTAACTTTGAATCTTATAGAGCCTTTTCATCGTTTCGTTGGCAAAGAAATGATGACTGATCTCAAATACCCTTTTCAGAAAGACACCATTCCCTTCTGGGCCGTTCCAGTATGTATCAGTTTCTCACCATCTCTTTTCTTTCTACCCTACATAGAATACTGAATACTTTACTTGACTATATCTTCACTTCCTGCATCTAGATTTACGCAGTACTCTTGCCTGTCGCCATCTTTCTCGTGTACTACATTTGCAGAAAGGATGTTTATGATTTGCACCATGCCATATTGGGTACTGCTTGTGTCCTTATAGGCTTCCTGTATACTAGGTTTTTATTTGGAAAATGATTTCCGCACAACCCTTTTCTTTTTGTAGGTTGATGATTACTTTTTCAACTTATAGGTCTTTTCTATTCTGTTCTCATAACTCTTGTAATAACGGATGCAATCAAGGATGCTGTTGGCCGCCCGCGTCCAAACTTCTTCTGGCGGTGTTTCCCTAATGGAATAGGTGTAGGTGACAACTTTTCTTTGGTTGTAAGCATAAGGACTTGTCCTGCATTATGCTGAACTCTTTGTCAATCACGTTTACAGATATATGATCCTGCCACTAACAATTGTGTCTGCACTGGAGAGAAGAAGATTATAAAGGAAGGACATAAAAGCTTTCCTAGTGGACATACTTCAGGTATCAAATCATCAGTCTCTTTCTGTGCGTCGTGCATTTTTAAGGCTATGCAGCTGAAAAAGACAACGCCTAATTCGGTTTGCAATTGTCAATTGTGCAGTTTCATTTGCAGGTCTTGGTTTTCTTGCATGGTATTTGTCCGGGAAGATCAAAGTGTTTGATCGTAGAGGCCATTCTGCAAAGCTCTGTATTGTTATTCTTCCGTTACTCTGTGCTGCTCTGGTGGGAATCTCTCATGTGGATGACTACTGGCATCATTGGCAGGATGTCTTTGCAGGAGGTCTTATAGGTTTGCTACTAAATGCAATGATACAATTTTCAGTTCCTTGACCTTCCACTGAATACAAAACATAATGTAGAAAGTTAAAAGATGATAATCCATCTTTTGGAACGTTCAATTTGTTTAAGCGCAGGAATTGTCATAGCTTCGATTTTTTACTTGCAGTCCTTCCCTCTCCCAAACCAGCGGGATGGTGTGTCAGCTATCTTATGTAAATATGTTCGTTTTCATCAACTGATAGCAATGCTGACCTAATTTTCATGTTTACATGTTTAGTTTCTTATTTTTTAATTTGCAGGGTAGGCACCTCATGCGTATTTCCACATGCTGGCTGCAGAGAGGAATGTTGGCGAGTCCGTGTCTCCGGCCACGAGGGTCAACTCTCTTCGGATGCGAAGAACAGATATCGAGAGTCTAGACTTCAGTCCCCAAGATTCGAGTCCGCTAGTCCACTAATTACTGGAAGAAGGGAGAAGATACTGAGTTGAGTTTGTATGTTAAATAGAAATCATATAGAAGGTCTGTATATATATATAAAATACGCGACGCGGGACTTCATTCAACGACTCCATATTGTATGTGTAGCTCCTAGCATCATTCTTTATTCAATGAAAATTTTACAATGTCTTGCTTTCCAAGTTCATCAACAGTCAAGAGTCTGAACTTTCTAAGGATTTGTTTATTGGTAAATGGTTTAGCAAGAAGCATTTATGTTGATAAACGTTCTTTTAGATACAGGTTAAATTTTTTATTAAACATCTAGCTTCTTCCTGAAAAAAAGAATTGGAATAGCTTCTTGAAGAAACACTTAGCAAGTGGTTCTCCATAAAGCACTTTTATGACTTAGAAAAAGTTTTAAGTTTTTGTCAAGGGGTAATGCTAAGGAGACTTAAATTTGTAGACAAAATTTGCAAATTAAATGATGTACCATCTATAGAAATGGGCACGTTTATCAATGTTTAAGTAATAATTCAATCATTAATTTACATATAGTTTAGTTTACACAATTTAATCTACAAATTTAATCTCCCTAACATTACACTTTTGTCAAACGTGAGAAACACGGTTACTTGGAAGAAAAACGCATTTACTCTCTTCAAAAGCAATCCCAAACGTGGTCCAAGTCTTGGTGTTTTTATTCTAAATATTGCAATGTGTTTCTCTTTTCATATAAATCTGTTAGTCTTTTTTTTTCTTTTGGTGAATAAATATGTTGGTACTTTGACATGTGAAGTTCTTGACTATAAGCCTATGAGAAGAAATTAGAAGGAAACAAAAAAACTCTCAAAGTCAAAGAAAACAATGAATAAATACGTCGGTACTTTGACATGTGAAGTTCTTGATTATGAGCCCTACGAGAAGAAATTAGAAGGGAAAAAAAAACTCTCAAAGTCAAAGAAAACAAATAAAAATGTGACGTTAGATGGAACAGTTGGTTGTTAATTGGTGATTGCTGGCAACCCCAAGTAGAGAGCTCCATTTACATCATTACAGTTGCTGCACATGCGTGCTCTCATAAATTCCTTCAACAATTTAAACTCCTTACCTTATTTGTCTGTGACATAAATAACTGCATTTCATCTTCGTCTTCATCACATACTATATATATATGTATGTACATGTATATCTATTGCCTTGCCATATGTAGCTCTCTCTCTCTCAGAAAAAAATGCAGATGACCTTATTCTGCGGAAACATGAAGAGGTACAGGAGGAGAAGGCGTTACCGCAGACTAAGAAATGCGGTTACTAATGAGCAAAACGCGATGGTTTCAATGGGGAAACGTCTTAAGTTTGGGAAAATTCGAGTGACCCCGATGCTACAAATCAAGGTGAAATCGTCGATAATGCTCTTGAAAAAGTTTAGAAATGCTTATGTGGGAATGATGCTTTGTTTTGCTGGACGTGTTGTGCAGTTGAATAATGGCATATAATGTTCACTTGTATCAGAAGACTAATGCTTCGCAGTTCTTAGCTTGAAAGCAATATATAAAGTTTTTACAATCAAGCTGAAGAATAATTTGTATCCTTTTGTATGTGTACGGAAACAACTCATTCCCAGAGAAAAAGTTTCTCTATGACTCCGTCTTCCCCAAGATATTGTGAAAGGAGAAAAGTTAGGAGTGCATTGCATGATGAATATTTTCAATTTACTAGGAAGCTTTTATAATTTGGAAAAGAAGTTTTAAAAATTATTGAGTTCTTGCGATTTTTTTTTTTTCTGGAAACACGATGAGCAATATTGCAAGATAGGATGCCTTTTTTTTTTTTTTAAATTTTTAATTGAAAGATGATGTTTAATTTCTTTCATAAGGTAATAGGATAAGTTAAAATTCGAGCAATCAAATGCGAGACTCCGTTTTGATACCATGCGCACAACACACAACAGGTGTGAAGTTGTTTCTTTTTTTTTTTTTTGATGAACAAGATAATGTATTATCCGGGTAAAGATGCCAAAATTACAAAGAAGCCTACCCCGAGGCAAACAAGCCAATTACAGCAACTAAAAGAAGGGAATACATAATGAGTGATTTCAGCCAATGTTTGAAATCTGAAATTATGTAATCTAAGATGTTGATATGTAGAGGAAGCTTTTCCATTGTTTTTCCGTTGGTTCACTTGATAAGGTGCAGGACTAGGTCGGCATGGACAAAGCCGACTTTATGTCATCCGTTGCATTTCATATGATTCTTTTGCATTTCATCTGATTCTTAGTAGCCTTTCTATCAATTGTAAACTAAAAATGTTGTAAACTTGATCTTTTCAGATTCAAGATTTACTTAGCAGGAACTTCCAGCGTGTAAGCCAATTCTCACGCCACGATGAGTAGGTTTTATAGTATTGTATTTGATATCTCCTTAGTCAGGCCATCCACATTCGCGTGTTAGATTTTTAGTTGAATTCTTGCCTTATCTCGTTGTGCGTGTGCGCTTGTTCTTGCAGGAGATCTCAGCATTCGTGCTTGTAAGCACTGTATTCATTCCCATCGGAGTTGCTTCCCTTTTTGCTTCTCGAGATGTATGGCTGATTTAAACCCAATTCTCTGCCTAATCTGTTTTTTTTTTCTAGTACTACATGTAGTTGATCAGGAAAATGATGTTTCTGTCAGGTTGTTGAAATTATTAATCGTTATGAAACTGATTGCATACCAATACCCGCAGTCTTCAGAAACTAAACAGCTCATTGAATCTTATCTTTCCGTATGGAAAGATGAAAGACTTCACTAAAGCTGAAAATTAGATTTTAAAATACTTATCTTTCCGTAAGAAGGGAATACAAATTTGTGGTTCTTTTTGGTATTTGAGTTTATATATTTTCAGATCTGAGTTATTGTTTATTTTGTTTTAGTTTTATATATTTTCAGGATCCCAAGTTCACGAGGAACCAAAGGTATTCCCTTCTTACTTTCTTTATCCCTCCATTTTCTTGGCTCTTGTAAATTGTGTGGTTTTTCTTTACCTTTGCATTTGATATTCATGACTTCTGTGAGGGTCCATATACTGCATGTCATCTGGTTAATTCGTTTTTGGAGCAGCAAAGAGTTGATGAGGTGCAAGGCCTGCTGGGGAAGATGCATCTGTCCAAAAATGTTTGCCTTCGAGTTTTTTTTATTTTTATTTTGGTATTAGAGAGAAGATATGTAACATTACAATATATGTTTGTGAGATTCAGAAAGTGAAACTTGGTTTCATGGTTGTAGGCTTTCTTCATTTCATGAAAATTTAATTTTTTTTCATTTCCTCAATTTAGTTTCAATTTTTCAATTTTTTTATTTTTTTATTAATTAATTCATGTTGGCACAATTATAATATAAGTGCCAACATGGCTGGAAAAGCTTATCTGAAAAAGTTGTTAGAACGGGGCACAAATGGACCACTGTTTGTGCTTGCCTCTTTGGCACAAATACACTATTGTGCTCTTTTAGCAATGGTGACGCCCGTAGAGTGCACATACACAAAGATAGTAGCTGCATTGTTGCTATTAGTCTATGAGCACAATTGTTGGTGCTTTTTGGCCTCAAGGGGCACATATAATTTATTGTGCGCAGTGGCCATTTTTGTTGTAGTGAAATAGATTCGATCGAGTTCAAGTGTAAAGTGGCGAGTACCCTGCCTTATCCGCCAAACCAATTTATTACTTGTAGCTATAATCAAAACAAATCTTCCAAAACACGGTGGATGTTGATTGGTAAGTACATACAATAGAAAGCAACCGCCCAACTCACATCACATGCTCTGCGTGGCTAAGTGCTGACTTTAAGTTCCTCCAATTTATTTACTTTGCTTAAAATCGTGTTCATTCACAATTCCTGCATGACTGCTACTGACTTTGCCTAAAATCGTGTTCACATCACAATTCCTGCGTGGCTAACTGCTACTCACTTTGGTTGCTGCAAGAAGTTTTCTAGATGGATATGAATTACACAACTTAATATTTACTCATCTTTAATAATTTTTTTGGTCTATTTCTAATCCAATCACACCTACTTTTTTAGTTATAACTTACACGAGTCATTCAACTCCATTTGTGACTTGTTTTACAGATCTATCTTTGCCTTGAATTATATCCCTCTCCGTCTCTCACATCCTCATATCAACTGCGGGGAGACGAAGTTTAGGCAAGCTAGCATGGAGTGGTACAGCTACCAAAGGAGGATATCTTCGTCTAGTTCTAGAGGATGCCCTTACCGCAGACTAGACAATTTTGTAACAGCTTATGACGAGGAAGAGGACAATGAGAAGAGTGCAGTTGTGTTGAGACAAAGACAGATCAGTGATCTCAACTTCAAGTACACAAAGAGGAGAGGGATATCTAAACTGCCACAGAAGATAATGTCGTCCATCGTGCTTCTGAAAAGGTGTAGAGATGCTTATGTGGAAGTAATGCTTAGCTTTGCTGAACATGTTGTGCAGTTGAACGGTGGAAATTCCTACTTATAAATGCTCCATAGTCCTCACTTCTCAGCTCCGAAGTCGTTAAAAGTTCTACTTAATCAAATTAAGGACAAGTTTTAGTTTGTGGGTATGTTGATTTGGATTAGGGCTCTTGTATTAGATTAGTGATATTTTACTTGATTATGTATTATGCATATATTTATGTTCCTGAAATTCTAATTAGCACTCCAATAAATCCAATATCATGTTGATTCTTTTTGATAAACTTTCTGAAAATCAGCGACTAATTACAATTACATTACATGTACACTTGGCCTGATGATTTTCAAAGAAACATTTTCTCTAAAGTTTTGTGCTTGTGTATAGGTAAATATATAATTTACCTTTTGTATGTAATATACCTTGTGAGCAGAAATGCAGGACCAAATTCTGAGATTCATCAAGACTCTTGTCAACGTTTTGCTTTCCAAAAAATATCTTACATCTTCTAGTTGCAGCTGCCATGTTCACTCTGCAGCTAGGTTTGGTCACAGCAGCAGGTATACATGATAAGGGTCGTAATTTTCACACTCCATTTCTTTCTCTTTTTTCGGTGTAGTAGAAAAAATGAGAGTGCAAAAAATTGTTTTCAGGTAAAATATATGATCGACTCTATCCATTATTATTCAACTTCCTTACAAGTTTTATTTATTTTTTACATTGAAGTGTTGCATGGTGATGCAGATCA